GCTGACTTCAGGTCTGGTTTAGATCATTGTTATTTTTACATTATATATTTTCAAGTATAAATCTGGTGTTTTACATGATTGTTGAATGAAATTAACATAATTATTAATTTATTGTAAAAACATGACAGATAATCTGTGAAACAGATCCAGTTCAGCTGCTGTTTATCAGTTGGAGGCTGTGAGCTGTTGCTCTGTTTGGTCTCTGGTTCTGCTCCTCCATGCTGTCMCAGACGCTACCAGTGGACTCCTGTGGTTTACTGGGAGCACTTCACTGCAAGATCTTACCTCCCTTCAACTATAGACATGAGAGCCACACCTTTTCTTTCTCTACCAAGCAAAGGCACTGTTGGGCTTCTGTTCAGAGAAGCGACCTAACAGATGAGGCTTTGAGGATCTGGAAAAAAAACAAGATGGGATGACGAAAACAATAACGAGGAGAAAAAAATCTGTTTATATAAAACATGTAAACATGAATATTACAACTCATCTGGGTCCACTGTGTTTCCTGGGATTCAGGTGTTTTTCTGACAAGTTCACTGTTATGGCAATATTTATTTAAAAGAGACAGAAATAAATACGCTGGTCCATGAATGAAGGTACTCCGTGAGATGATCAGCTGAGTTTTATTGCAACAACAGGAACACAGAGAACTCTGTGCCTTTGCTTCTCTCTGTCAGTCTCTCCACACTGCTCACTGTCTAACTCTGTCAGTCTCTCCACACTACTGTTGAACACTGTTGTATCGAGAGGCCTCATATATACAGCATTCTGTCATCTTAGCAAGATTTGATACAAGGTCAATGGAAAACACAAAGATAAACACAAGTGATATCTAAGAATGATTATTGTTGTTGGCAGACCTTGTTCTGACTTTAATCATTCTGTCTGCAGATGAACAGCATGTCAGGAAAATCTAGGTCATTAAAGGATGTCGTGAATCACCTGCTTAAACATAAAAGTATTATTTCTATTACATTCACTAACTGGGACCTGGGTTAATTTAGACCTCAGACTCATAATTCCTAATTCAAAGTGAAGATTTGGATCTTTAATCCAGTTTATTAGCAGACTGGGTTGTTTGTATCTTCCCATTGCCTCCTCAAGTCTGTGCTGTGCCACTAGGAAACCTCCAAACTCTGAAGAAGAAACCCAGCAGGAGATAATAAGAACCAGTTCCTGCTGTTATCATTTTGTTGATTGGCAAATAAGGTCAAATAACCAAAAATATTGGTCATTCTTACTTGTACAAATGTAAACCCATGTGATCTGTTACACAAATTACAAAATGTGGTGGTTGAATTCTTACAATTTTGATTCTTATCAGAGAAATGCACCAATGTAAATGAGAAAAACTGACAACCACCCACTGACCCTGCTGCATCATATCTTGCTGTAAACCACTGTCATCAGCAGAGGCAGTACTGAGCATTCAATCACAAGAAACGTCTACCATTACATGTCAGTTCTTCACCTGAACATCTCTAAGACAGTTCAGTAAATTATTACAGGATGGTTGATACAGCTGTGTCCAACAACGATAGAAGCTGTGCAGAGAAGATGAGTAATTACATCAAGACCAAAAAAAGRAGTCGTCCTCACAGCAGAGACAGTAAGTTTACCTCTCTGATCAGGAAACCTGTGGCTTTAAGCTTCTGTGTGGCTCAAAGTGCTTCCAATCAACATTTCAGAATTAAAGCTGTGATACTTTAAATTTACTGGTTAGAGGAGTGGTTCCCAAACTTTTTATCTTCTGACCCACAAAATATCCATGGCAAAAACTTGTGACCCCAAATATTACTGGTCTGAGTAGTAGTACACAAACTTTGTTAATAACCCTAAAAACAAAGGCTACACAAATATAAATACTTATTTATACTTATTTTGTGTTTTTGTAATAATTATAGGGAAAATATTACATCACCAATTATTTTATTACACTTGATTTCTGAAGTACAGTGG